TCATTTCTTTTACAGCTGTCAGCTCCTGTATGAGAATACCAACAGCAGTGACAAGGTTGCTATCCCTGCATGATTATAAACTGCAGCTATTTAGATTGTCAAAGAGGAGTAAGATGTTCACAGTGATCACTGCATGGGCTTTTATCACAGCAATGGGCTACAAGTGATCCCCTGGAGATGACAAAGCAACTCTGACCATTGCTTGGGTCTCTATCTCAGGACCTGTTTCCATCAGATCTTGGTCATTAATGAGTAGACAGAGTCCCTGCTCTTCATATTTTTCCTTCGTGTAAGCCTTGCTCCCTGCAACCTCTAATTATCTTTTCAAGATAAAAACTAAATCTTCATATGTCACTCTAAAGACAACATGTAGGTCCTGAGTTACATGTAAGTCCTGACTAAACCAGTCAAAATATTGAGTTACATGTAGGTCCCGACTAAACTTGAGTTACATGTAGGTCCTGACTAAACCAGTCAAAATATTTTGTAACTAAGAGTATAAGAAAATTCCAATAAAATCTAAAGAGGTTTTTTAAAAATATGACAAATTAGATAAATATGAAAAAAGTAAAAAATGCTTCAAAAGATGTCAGATAATTAGAAACTATTATCAATGTCATAATTCTGCTTAAATGAAGAGTGTGATCTTGATATAAGAGTAACTAAAATAATACAGTGTGTGCATGTGTGTTTGTGTGTGTGTGTGTGTATGTATCACACCAACTGAGGTCATCCTTCTATTTACTACTATCTAGTTGGCAGTTCATTGCTTTTCTCTCAGTTTCAGGACTTGTGTCTCATAATTACTTCAGCCTCAATTCCTGTCCTTGTTTTTCTTTTGTAAGACAAAAGGCCCAAGAATATGGGCCTAACCAGGTAACTCATCCCTGTTGCTTGAAATATTAGAATTTGTAGCAGAATACACAAGTTGGGGAATGAGAGAGTGCTTTAAAAGGGCAGCAATGGAAACATTTTAGACTGTCTTTCTTCATTAACCACACTGCCTCACTTTTTGCATCAACCATATCCATCATTCTCTATCTTATGTTTTAAATATTGGTGTCTGAAATTCTTACTGATTCACTTGATTTTGTATTTATTATTTTTCTCTCATCTAAAATATAAGCTTTTTGAGGGATTTATGACTCAATAGCCAGAATAACGTCTTTGCCATAAACATTTAATAAATGTTTGAATTTAAAAAGGAAGAAATCTCCATGTGAATGTCCTTCAGCCACCAAGCAAGTTATTCTTTCACGTGAGACTTCCTCTATTACTTGACATTTTCCTCTCTCCTTCTTTCTACTACTCTCTTTTTTAGAAATTCTCTCTCCTTAATTTTATTTTTCTTATTTCTTCAGAGCATACACCTCCTGCTAGATGCTCTCAAAAAATCATTTTCCATCCCTAAGCAATTGTCAAAATATGTTTTTCGTAGAGTTCTATATTAAATTTTGTCACCAGCAATTGAAATAATATATATATTTATCACATGCAAAACAAAGAACCACTGTATGTAAAATAAATGAAAATTTGAAAACACGAAAAAGTTGGTAAAAATAAATATTATATTTCAAGCCTTTTGAGAAAACATTAATTGTATGTAATAATTAAAATTAAAAATCATTCAATAATAGTTGTAGGATCATTAATTATTTTGACAGAAATTTTTAGAAATACCTCAAGCTAGTCTGGACACGGTGGCTCACACCTGTAATCCCAGCAGTTTGGGAGGCCAAGGCAGGCTGATCACGAGGTCAGGAGGTCAAGACCAGCCTGGCCAGCATGGTGAAACCCCGTATCTACTAAAAATACAAAAAGTTAGTCGGGCATGGTGGCACGCACCTGTAGTCCTAGCTACTCAGGAGGCTGAGACAGGAGAATTGCTTGAACCCAGCAGGCGGAGGTTGCAGTGAGCCGAGATCATGCCACTGGACCTCATCCTGGGTGACAGAGCAAGATTTCGTCTCAAAAACAAACAAAAAATAAGAAATACCTCAAACCATGTATCAATAAATTTCAAATAGATTAAGGAGATAAAGATATAAAAGTAATAATTAGATGTCTAGATAAGTAATTATCTGTTTAATCTGATGGTAAAATATTTTATATCCATTAAGATACATAAAAGAAAACTAGTAATTAAAAACAATTGATAATAAATTAACTTTTTTGCCAGTAAAGTTTGTCCTGAGTAAAAATAAAATAATTGTACTTAGTGCTTGTGATTGAGAATTACCACCTATAAATATCTCAGCTAGATGAGATTCTTTTTCTGATGAGTGAACTGAAACCTGTGTGTTTACATAGGTTGAATCTTTGCTGGTCCTGACTTTATTAGGTTGGCATTTTCAAATTTCCAGTGTACTAGCACTCTCAGAAGAGGAATACTAAGGGGTGTGTCAGTGATGACGTCTCAGTTTCAGGTATATTCTCCTTAGCTTCATTGAGTAACTCTGGCTTCATTTCCCCTGAGAAATTAGAATCTGTCATACCAGCCAATACAGTGATTTCTCACTTTGTCTGCAGAATCAGGAGCACGAGGAGGCCAGAATTGCCAGGAGTAGTCTCAGCTTTCAGTTTAATAGGATCATGTGTACCCTACTGGAAACACTAACCTTTTATGAACTAAAACCTTCTGGTCCACTAACTGAGTTCACAGATATGTGTAAGTGGTTTACTTGTTGTCAATGAGAGGGCTGTTTTCTTTTCTTTTCCTTTGTTCCTACGGTAGATGACACTAGAGTAGATGACACCACATGTGGCCTCTGGTTTGAAGCATACTTCACATATTATAAGAGAGTGTTCTGAGTGTACAGCTGTTATATCCCAGATGATGTTATAACTGAGCCTTCAATAGGTTACCACACCATCCCTTTGCCATGAAATGAGTTTCTTCATGTGTGGAATGTCAAAGTGATGGTTCAGTCATGAATGGTGTTGCTGACAGAAGGGTTTCAGACAGGAAAAGCACATCTGTAACTGAGATATGAATCTGTTCTTAGTGTAAATGATTGATTCTGCAAGAATGCAAGGGGGTAGTGGAAACAACCTGCCACCATGGCTGGTACTGCCAGGAAATTGTGCCAGATTAGGGGCTCGTTACTTGTCACTGCAATGGGGCCCTTCATGGTAGTGAGAAGATCAGGCTTGGCGAGACGTGTTTGGTATTTTGAGACCATGCACAGCCTTTCTTCCTGCTGCCGTGGACTCTGTAAACACATAAGATTGTGTCCGACAGACTCTCCCAGGATGGTTTGTCTTACTCACTTCATTACGAAGACTTCCCTCTTTATGGATCCTTTCTGGTCAGCATGTTATAGAACACAGATTTCATCAACAATATGCTTATTCCCAGAGATACATGTTTCTGGCTGAGATTACTTTCTCACCTACCTTTTAATATTATAAAAACTGTGACTTCATTTTAATGTATATTACTTTAATTTTTATATTTTATTTTTATTTTTTGAGATGGAGTCCAGCTGTGTTGCTTAGCCTGGAGTGTGATGATGTGATCTCAGCTCACTGCAACCTTAGTTCACTGCAATTTCCGCCTCCCAGGTTTAAGCAATTCTCCTGCTTCAGCCTCCTGAGTAGCTGGGATTACAGATGCCCGCCACCATGCCCAGCTAATTTTTATATTTTTAGTAGAGACAGAGTTTCACCATGTTGGTCAGGCGGGTCTTGAACTCCTGTAATCCACCCACCTCGGCCTCTCAAAGTGCTGGGATTACAGGCATGAACCACGGCGCCCGGCCCTGTATTACTTTAAAGGGCATATCAATCCAAGACTGAATCATTGCAGGAAAAAACTTCAAGAAAGTTATATAAATTGAAAACAGTAACAAAGGCATAATGTTACTAAATGCTATTCAGGTAGGGTACATAATGAGATCATTAAATACATGTAAGATCAAATATATCAGATATACCTGGGTAAATTTGAAGGACAGAGTAAATTTTAAACTGGGCTTGATGAGTACTTGAATTTCAATAGCAGAAATATTCTTGCTCTTTACCTAAAGAGGACACGCATACTCCAGCTTCACAATATTCTTTCAACAGATATTTTTAAATTCCAACAGTCTTAGCAGGTAAGGACACACCACAATGACTACATAATAGAAATAATAATTTCGAGTTGCCAGGATTTGACTAACCAATCTCATATTCCCATAATAGATCTTTCATACTATTTTAAGAAAAAGAACATTCTTTAGAGTTTTTGCCACCAAATTGTCAAAATAACATTGCTTTTCATTCCACCCTGGCTATAAAATAAGAAATGTATGGCCATCAATCATATAAACTTGAGGGTGAAAGTTTCTAATATTTTAAAGTCCCAAATGTCATGTGAATGTTCCCTTCATAAACCTGTGCCTGAGAAAGGTCAGTCCTGGTCTAAAAGTAGAAACATTAAAGTCACGAGTAGGCTCAGAACTTTTCAACCTCTGTTCTCTGTTTTAGAATAAACTTCTGCTAACACAGTTAGAGCTTCTTTATGTCAGAAGATCAGTCAATATTAGAAAGTCAAATCACATATTTCTTAATTATAATAAAATCTCATGAAATTTAGAATACAGTCGTTTGTGGATTCATGATCATTTGGCTTTAGTAAAGTTGTTAAATTTATAAATAAGAAGTTTAGTTAAAAGGCTGTAACTTTTTAAAAGGTGGAAAATATATAAAGTAATTTAAGACAATCAAACATAAATTATACTTTTTACACTAATAAAAAACATTTACATGCCTTTTGGAATGTTTTATATTATGAACCTTCTAAGTGTAAGAAATATTTTGAACTGTGTACAACATTTAAAAAGCATGATGAACAATCTAGACTAACAAAGAAATGATTATACTTTCCTCTATATTGAAAGTTTATTGAAATGCCTTATTTATTGCAGTTAGCTTATTTGGAAATATGTGATGCATACTTTTCATATTTCTTCAAATTACTCTTTCCTTAGGTTTCATCAATGTACCTACATATTTAAGATAAAATCACAGCTGATAGCTTGGAAGCTGCACTCCTCTCTCTTTCCCTTCCACTCCACATCTGGAGAAGATGATGAGAAAACCTGAGTGCTTCCTGGTCCCTGCATGAAGTTCAAACCCCACAGGCCCTGGTACATGGGCACTGGACCCCTCGCTCCAGCCCTACCCCTGATCCCACTAAAAGCTAAGACAGTGACAATTCCCTGCTTTTCTAAGGCATTTGGGCCTGCTTAGGAGGCTGCACTGTTCTTCCCAGAAAGCCTCTTTATTTGAGTAATAAGCTTTTGTATCCTCTCTTGGTGTGGGTTACCCTTTTCAATATCCAAACCAAAATTTGGGTAGGGTACATCCTGTCTGAGTAGGGTACAACACTTATTTATGATTAAAAACTTTCAAGAAATCTATAAGCATTCTTTAACTTAGTCTGTAACTAGTTCATAACTATTCACTAATTACATATATAAATTTTGATATATTTAACTATTCCTTAATATTAATTGTGTATATATATATTATTCATATATATGCACATACATAAAAGCTATTTAAAGATTTGTTTTTAATTAAAGGAGAATAGTTTTACCTTGAAATAGAATACAACTTTTAAAATTTATTTGTCTATATATTTCTTGGAGACAGGGTTTCTCTCTGCCACCCAAGCTGGAGTACCGTGGCATGATCATAGCTCACTGCAACCTTGAGCTCCTGGGCTCAAGTGATCTTCCTCCCTTGGCAAAGTGCTTGGATCAGAGGTTTGAGACACTGTGCCCAACTGACACACAATTTTTTTTTTTTTTTTTAATGGAGTCTCACTTTGTCTCCAGGCTGGAGTGCAGTGGCGCCATCTCAGCTCACTGCAATGTCTGCCTCTCAGGTTCAAGTGATTGTCTTGAGCACTGCATTCTATCAGTCAAATGCATCAAATCTGGGACAATGACCATACAATATACTTTGGCAGGCAATTGTTTGGAAACTGGCAAGTATGTATGAATGATTGAGCAACCTTTGATGCTGCTGGGCTAATTAAGTGAATAGCCCCATTAGGCCTCCCTAGACATCTCATCTACTTGGGAACTTTGGTTTTAGCACCTTGAAGCTTGTTTTCCAATTATGTGGTAACTATCCACCATCTGCTTCAAGATTATCTAGGCTATTTGTTGACATGCATTTTCTTGGGGGAAAATGCATTTTTTTCCACAAAAATTCTTATTTGGTGGGTTTGTGTGTGGTCCCAAAAGCTGCATTTTAACAAATACTCTAGGAATGCAGATGCTCTAAAGTATTAGAACTCCTAAGAGGAAACTATGCTTCTGGGTATACTGTTAGCTCAAGATTGTAACTCTATTGCAAAGAGACTATATCCCTGCTCTCCTATTTTAGATTTTAGAACCTAAAATGTATATTTGCTTGTGACGGTATTTTTTGACACAACATTTTTTTTCCCTTTGCTAGAATAAGAGCTGGAATAATCTCCTCAGTCTATCCTAAGACACTAGAGGCCTAGAGAATCATCAAGTCTCTAATTTCAAAATCTATTGTGAGATAATAATGAGATGACACTTCAGTGCTTACTTGTTATGGTAAGTTAATAATTTTTCTATAAGATCCTTGAGTCACAATTATCATAGCCATTTTATAGATTAAAAAACTAAAATGCAAAAAGGTGAAGCCAATTATCCAAATTATATAGTAACAATTGATGGATACTGCGAACTCAGAGCTCAGTCTGTTAACCACTACAATTTATTGTTGAATTTTCTATTACCTCAGCCGTCATTTTATCAAATGCAGGGCTCTGTAGAGACTGCACCTGCTATTTACAAAGTCAACTTTATTATCATATTCTATGTAAACTCAATTAACAGAACATTTTCCTTCTACAGAGCAGATAATTTCTCTAAAACAGGCAAGTTGCTGACTTGAAATGACATTAACATTTTTGATTCAGTTTGCCAGTCCTATTGATCTATGAAATAGAGGTCTTAAAAAGAATGTTAAAGATTAAAGCTGAGAGATAATTTAGTTCTAAACACAGTGGTCTGAATTGACAAAAGTCACACTGGGGAGATCATAAACTACTTGCCAAAGGCCAAAGCTGACAGGTGAATTACCTGGGAATTTAGTTCAAATATAAACACACTTCAAATGGAGACAATCTATGAGCCAGGAGATGAAAACTGGGTCAGAAGTTATATATACCAGAGCAAAGGTCAGAAGCAGAAGTGTGTTTTTAAAAGTGAGCAGGATACTGGAAGGAGCGAATAGAAGTCCTTGTCTGAAATAGAGAAAGGGTAAGTTGTAGATAAGAATAGTGCTTTTCATGGGTCTTTGAAACAAGCACTCTGGAATTTATCCATGATTGTTGGCACTCCCAACCAGGCTGGGTTGGGGAATTAAAGGGATCGCCTCCTAATAAAAATTGCAGACTTTTAGTCCACTATTCCTATAAAGATAACGTTAAAATACTCAAGATAAATGAACAGAAATCAAACTCTAAAAACTATGAAACACATATAAGACACACATCTACTGCTAGACCCTCAATTTTCTTTTGCTGCATACAAGGATATTTCAAAATAAACTGAATTATTCTGAAGATCATTTTATGTGAAATTTTTACTGTGGTTTTGAATTACAAAGATTGGAATTGCAACATATAAAGACTAATTTTCTGGGCTCTAATTTTTTAAGAACACTATCAACTGAATCTAATTGGCATAATTATCCTTTCACAGATAGCTTTAAATTGTTTATTTGGATCATAGCTAAAGTGAGCAAGGAAAGGAAGAAACAGCAATTAATTTCATGAGTCCAGATTTTCGACTTTATGAAGCTTCAATGGGGCTGTTTAAAGATTACACTTCTAAGCTAATGTACAGGCACAAACTAGAAATAAGTCGGAGAATAAAATTATTCTACATTTTTACATGACATTATTCTGTATTATTTTCTACACTGAAGTGTGGAAATGCTTTGCTTAACTTTAAATTCAGTCACATATTTTTAGAGCAATATTTTTGATGAAGAGCAAATAAAACTAAAAATAACACAAGTGACTATTAGAATTTTATTTCTTTGCAAAAGAAACTTTGCCAGATTGACTCCAAAACTGAATGCCTTTGTGGATAAATATGATTCCTGCTTTACTCTGAGTTCTTTAATGAACCCCTTGACATCAGTTGTGAGCGAAAACATGAGACTATATCGGACTTTTATCCAAAAGACAGGCAATATCAAATGCTGGTGAGGATATGGAGCAAGAGGAACACCCAGTGGGAATGTAAATTTGTAGAGCCACCATGGAGAACAATCTGGTGGTTCCTCAAAATAATGGTAGAACTACCATATGATCGAGCAATGCCGCTGATGGCTATATACCTAAAGAAGGGAAACCAGTACATCGAAGAGATATCTGCATCCCCACAGTTATTACAGCACTACTAACAATAGCCAAGATTTGGAATCGACTTGTGTCCACATCAGATTAATGACTAAAAAAAAAAAAAAGTAGTACATACACACAATGGAATATTATTCAGCTGTAAAAAGAATGAAATCATATCATTTGCAACAACATAGATGGAACTGAACATTACGTGAAGTGAAATAAGCCAGGCACAGAAAGACAAATAGCACATTTTCACTCATATATGGAAGCTAAAAAATTGGTTTCATGGAGATAGAGAGTAGGATGATAGATATCAAGGGCTGTTAGGGATTTGTGGGTGGGTTGCAAGGATGAAGGGAGGTTGGTTAATGGATACAGACATACAGTTGGATATAAGGGGTAAGTTTTAATGTTCATTAGCAGAGTCACGTTACTATAGTAAACAATGTATATTTCAAAATAGCTAGAAGAGAGGAGTTGAAATGTTCACAACACATAAAATTGATAAATACTTGAGGTGATCAATCCCCTAAATGCATGACTTGATCATTACACATTCTGTGCGTATGACAGAATATCACATGTACCCCACAAATATGTACAAATATTATGTATCTATTTTAAAAGATAGATCCAAGGGGAAAAAAGCCAGAGAGAAGACATAGATTACCTTCCAAGACTGATAGTTGATTCTGAATAGCAATAATGAAAGGCAGAATAAAATGGGATAATCATTTCAGAGGACAAAGATTAAATATGATCCAACCAATATATACCCAAAGACATAATCTTTCAAGAACAAGAGAGAAATAAGGACACTTTCAAACAAAATAAGCATAGCTCTTACTTCCAACAGATTGCCACTAGGAATTTATAAAGTATATGATTTCGGGAGAAGAAAATTATTCTGTATGGAAGATCTGAAGTGCAAGAGGCAATGGTAATCGTTTGTATTATAAGATCAAATCTAAAACAAGTCAGTTGGACTTGTGAAAATGAATAATGATAATGTCTTATTTTGAAAATTTAGAAAAGTAATTTACTGTCAGCATTATTGAGTTTAAAATTATATGGAATTTGCAGAAGTTCATGCATATTTTTACCTAACGAAGTGTTACACAGGGCTATGGCTCTACAATCAGGTTCCTTTCAGGATAAGTGTATTTGTTTTGTTCCCATTTGTTTTATTTTTAGTTTATTTTTAAATTTATTTTCAACTTTATTTTTGGTAATGTATTCGGTTTCTTGTTTTGGTTTTCTCTGTGAGATTTTTCAGTCCTGGATTTGAACCAACAAGTAGTTTGATGACATGAATCTTGGTTTTTTATGTTTGGGTGCATTCAAAATTTTTTTAAAAACATAATTTATGTTTTATATCATGTTAAAATTGCAAAATTCCCAAAAATCTAAAATGTAATCACTTATATAAAGGGCTTTTAAAATTGTTGTTACAGGGCACAAGTTCAGTCAGTTTTAGCTTATATTTCTTCTGTTCTAACTTTGTATTTGATCACCTTTAAGTGGGTGGGAATTCCTTCTTCAGTTAACTATCATGTACAGAACCTCCTTTTGTCTTATTTTTGGCCATTTCACACATGTATGTTATTTACTTGATACTTGAATGCATCTGGGTTATTGCTTAGTGATTTATAATATGGCAACTACCTGAAATAGGTATATGCCAGATTTTAAAAAGTTGGAAATTTCCCAAATATGCTTGCACTTGTCTAGGAAAGTCTAAAGTAATTTTACTAAGACTTGTTTAAAGCATAGATTTGCCAATTTTTGATATATAATTTTTTGATGAGATAGTTATTTAATCTCTGTCTCTTCTTCCCATCTACAAAATAAGTTTAATTATCATTGCCCTGCTCATTTCAGCTTGCTGTATAGATAGATCTCTGTTATAAACAATTTCCCCTTAAAAATGAAAGACAGTCCATCTCTCTATAGAGACTATCTAGGAGAGACTAGTTCCTATTCACATATAGGCAATCTTGTCTTCTCTTTCCTGAAACTAAGAGTAATATCGGTGAGAGTCCAGCCAATGACTATTTCATTATATACACAATGTTTCACCATAATATATATTTTTTCCTAACAAAAGCAAATTCACCTAGGCTCTTGAAAATGGCTTTCCATAGAGGCTATCCTGGTTCAAGTGCTTTTCAGGTAGTTTCTTTCTTTTCCTAAAAGCCAAAGCCCAAATGTGTGGTGCTTTTGTAACCCCTTAGTTTCTACCGATTACTATTCTTACTAATTAATCTTGGAGGTGAGGTGTTTTGGGCATTACATGGGCCACAGGAATGGATACAGGAAATATATGATATTCCCTCTTTCTCTGGATATGGTAATACAACCTAATTGTCAATAACCTGTTTAAAAGACACAAAATCTAAAATGTTCTATGTAGGCTTATGTACAAAGCAGTTTATTTAATCAAAAGATGAAAATTTTTCTGTAATAGCCATCTGATGTAATGCTTTCCATTCACCGACTATAGATAAATGTAATATACTGAGTTGCTTGCTTCATTTCAATTAATTAAATAATTAAGTATTTCTCATTGCATGGTTGGCTTCTCTGTGTTAATGATGTCTGGCCATCATCTTACTCTCAAATATAACATTGAAGTCTAAATTATCTTTCCTTCCCAGTTTTCCTGCTCGTATTGCTAAGGCCGTTAGTGTCCTACTATTCCAGACCTGAAAACTTTTCATCATCCTTAACTCATTCCATTTCTGCAAACAAGTTTCCATGAATGTTTCTCTGAATGGCTTGTTCATCTTCATTACTAGCAATCACCCACTGAATTTTTTCTGTCCATGGTTTTCCTGAACACCTTTGAACATATTTTGTTTCTCCATATTAATTTTGTTCTGACTCAGATAAATTTTATGGTATTATAAAAGCCGACTTGGTATCAATGATCATAGAGGAATAGGGCACCCCAGGCTGAAGGATATGCTTGGTTGAGATGGAGGTGGGTATAAAGATGGGTCCCTGCAGAGGAGCTGGACTTTCCAGGCGTAGGATCCAGTGGAGAAATACTGCTCAAATTTAATTCCCCAAATGGTCATTATTACAGTTTTCAATCTGGTGTACAGGGAATAGTGGGAATGAATCCAAGTTCTTAGGAACAGGCCTAGTAGCAAAAGGGCTTTAAAAATGTTTCCATATAGGGAAGAAAACCAATCAAGGCATTGGTAATGTGGAAAAAGCCTTCATTCTTTGGGAAGAAAATTGCCAACAGTGTTCTTTATCAAATATACTTTGAATGTTATTTTAAAGATTCCAATAACAAAATACAATTTCATTTGCAACATGTATGGAAGAACACAGCTAAATTCTGGCTTCACTGAATTAATGAAAACAAGACTAAGAATAAAGACCATGAGATTGCACAGATTTGCAAAAGGAAATTCTGTTTCGGATTCACATGGGAAGGTTTCTGTTCTCAGCTGGAGTTCCTTTGGGAAGAATTATTAAAATGAAAGAGAACTAGTCTTTGCTTAGATAAATAACTAAATTCTATCAGAGTCAAATGATTTCTCTATAATAGAAGTTATAATAACAACGTGACTATTTACATCTATTAAATGCAAATTCAGGAACTAATCTTAGGTTGATAGTATGCATTCAAAGGCAGCCATCAATCAATAAATGACAAATGGAATATCCACTATATGTTGAATTCTCTGCTATGTATTATAGGAATGTAATTTGTTTTAAAATTTGATTTCTGTAACATCTTCAGTTTTGTTATATAACACTATAAGCTGATTTTTAAAAATCAATATGAACAAATGCTAAGAACAAGAATCATTTAGCTTTGGGAAAAGATATCTCAATGTCAAGGGACAGCATGGTGGGATTACATGTCAGAGAAATTGTAGCTGGAATTATAGCTTCTATTTCCTAAGCATATTTCTCTTGGCTATCTACTTAAAATACCCTCTGGGCCTCAGTGTGCATGCCAATAAACTAAGAATAATATTATCTATAATTCTTATTTATAGGGTTGTTAAAATAAGCAAAAATATTTTATTTTATTTTTTAAGTTTACAAAATACGTAAAGTGGCTTGACTTAAGAAACTTTTTTAAAACAAATGTGGAAAAGTCTATATAAACAGCATTCTCTTTTTTTCCCAGAGATCAAAAAGAATGTTTTTCAGAAACTCTTTCACTATCAATTTATAACCCCTGTTATAAAAGCAAACTTAACTCTGCAGTGAAAGTGTTTTGATAAGACCAACTGTATGCTCCATCACCTCTGCCTTCTCTCTTACTGGCTTTAGACTTCGACCAGTCAACTCACTACTGGACAGATTAAGTTCACAGACCCAACGGTATCTTAAACTTAACATGTCTAAAACTGGAAATGTCTGTTCCTTTAAACTATTTCTTGAAGTAAAAATAAGTAACAAAAATCAATGCAGTTAATGACACCACTATAAATGTAATTGTTTAAGTCAAAATTTCATTAAACTCTTCCCGGACGGAACGAGATCCTGTTTCGTGTTCTTGAAGCCCAATAACGAAATGCAGATGAACTGGGAAAGAAGAGAGTTTATTTCTGTAACCAGGTACAGGGAGAAGGTTGGAGATAATTCATCAGACCAACTCAGGATTCTAAAGTTTTTCCAGTCCTTATATAGGTTTTGAACTATATGCCTATGTGTAGTCTCATATTCGCCTATCTCTATAGGTGATGAATTTTGTTTTAACTGAAACGTCAGAAGCCAGAAATGTCTTCTAAATCTACTTAATGCACGAGGTCCCTGGTACCGGGATGATAAAGAAGTGTCCCCTAAATCTACTTAATCTATGAGGCCCCTGGTACCAGGGTGATTACTTCTATCTTATGTTACCTATGGTTTAGGTCTAGAGAGTTGCTTCAGACCCCCAACAAGTGTATTCAATCCAGGACGCATCTTGGTACAAGGAACGTAGGGCTGTCTTGACTCACCCCAGGTTTTGTGGACTCAAGACAGGTCTTTGTCGAGACAAGGAACTTAAGAAAGTCTCCCTTATGTTGACTTGCCCTGGGCTTTAGCAGAAGCCTAGGGAAAGGTCTTACCGAAGATATGTTTCATTTTTGTCTTTGGTGTCTGGGCATTGATTTGCCTAGGTTTAATTATTAACTTAATGTTAAGGCAGATGCAGTGGAAGTTTGCCTGTATAACAGGAGTGCTATGGAGGCCTGTGTGTGTGACTGTCAGGGAGAATTGGCCTACCACAAAACAATCACCAAATCTTGCTGATTTTCAGATTTTTATTGGCTATTTCTTCAAAGTTTTCCCTTTATCTCATTGTCATGCTTGTCAAGACCCTTTCTGAGGATATTTAGCCTTATAACAGGTATCCCTGCTTCTCCTTCTTCATCTTCTTTTTATCTCCTCTTCCTACCTCCAAACCATGTTCCATGTTATTGTTATTTTCAGAGTAGAACATCTAATCAAAAACCTTTGCTCTCATACTTAAAATTTCTTGATATCTCATTGTGTCCTTTAGGATAATGTCCATAGCGTGCCATACTAGGTTACCATGATTTCCCTTTGTCTTGTAAATGCTCCCCAATTCCTATGATTTCCTACCTAATTTTTGCCTCTCAACCAATGCAGAGGCATTTCAGTGCCCAGGATTTACCATACTGCTTTCTACCTTCATGATTTTGCTCAAGCTGTTCTCTCTCTCTGCAGTACCTTCAGTATTAGTTTTCTATGTCCTATGACAAGTTACTGTAACTTTGCCCCTTAAAACCACACACATCTATTCTTTTAGAGTTCTGGAGATTAGAGCTCAGTTTTACTATGTTGAAATCAAGGCATCAGTGGATCCTCACCCTCAGCAACATCAGGGGATAATTTTTTTCTTGCCTTTTTCAGCTTCTGGTGGCTCCTGTGTCCCTTCGCATGTGGTCACATCATTTCAGTGTCTGCCTCTGTGGTCACATTGCCTTCTGTTCTTCTGTATCAAATCTCCTTCTATCTCTTTTTTGTAAGGACAGTTTTCATTGCATCTAGGGCTCACACTGGCAATCTAATATAATCTTCCTGTTTTACTCATCTCAGGCTGTTATAACAACATATCATACACTGGATGGTTTAAATAGCAGACACTTATTTCTCTCAGTCTGGAGGTTGGGAAAACCAAGATCAAGGTGCCAGCAGACTCAGCGTCTTCTTAGGGTGCTCTTTCTGGCTTGTAGAAAGCCACCTTCTTGCTGTCTGCACACATGGCCTTTCCTTAGTGAGAACTCAAGATGGCGGAGAGAGACAGATCTTTCTGTCTTCCTCTACTTACAAAGGCACTAATTCCAATGTGAAGGTCCCACCTTGTGTGCTAACCTAATCCTAATTACCTCAAAAGCTCCACCTCTAAATACCATGACACTAGGGGTCTGGACTTCGACACATACATTTTTGGAGGACTTGGACATTCAAGTCCATGACATTCCCATCTCAAGACTTTTAACTTAATCACATTTAAAAATAGCGTTTATGTTTATAAAGCAACATTTATAGGGTCCAAGTTAGGTTCTAATATCTTTAGGGGCAATTATTTAGCCTGCTGCTGCTTTCTTTTAGAATTTAGCTAGGTTTTTCTTATTGATGACCCTTTGTGCCTGCCCTATGCTTACCTCTGAATTTACACTTATTACATAAATGTTAAATCTTTCTAACTAGAACGAACACTCCTCAAGGGCAGAGGATGTACATTTTATTCATTTTTCCTTCTTTAATCTCAATACCCTGGGATGGTGTCTGGCACATAGTAGGTGTTCCGTATGTACTTACTGAACTTTTGAAACGATGACATCTCTGATTTTAGTGTTTCAAAATAAATGACTTAGCCAGTGGGAATGAACAAGAAAGGTAACATATGGTTGTCTCACTCTCTGGAGCACCTCATGGGCAATGCGGCTTGCTTCCTGACCCTATCCAATGAAATACAGGTTTTCCTCATTTCACTGCTTTGTTTTATTGTGCTTCACAGATACTACATTCTTCACAAATTGAAGGTTTGTGGGAACTCTGCATCAAGTAAGTCTATTGACACTATTTTTTTTTCCTTCAAGGAATCTTGACTTTTTTTTTTTTTATACTTTATGTTCTAGGATACATGTGCACAACATGCAGGTTTGTTACGTATGTATACATGTGCCATGTTGATGTGCTGCACCCATTAACTCATCATTTACATTAGGTATATCTCCTAATGCTATCCCTCCACCCACCCCACAACAGGCCCCGGAGTGTGATGTTCCCCTTCCTGTGTCTAAGTGTTCAGATTGTTCAATTCCCACCTATGAGTGAGAATATGCAGTGTTTGGTTTTCTGTTCTTGCAGTAGTTTGCTGAGAATGATGGTTTCCAGCTGTATCCATGTCCCTACAAAGGACATGAACTCATCCTTTTTTATGGCTGCATAGTATTCCATGGTGTATATGATTGACACCATTTTTTTCCAACAACAGGTGTTCACTTTGTATCTGTGTGTCAGCATTTCTGGGCAATGAAATACTTTTAAATTAAGGCATGCAGGTATGCTTTTTTTTTTTTTTTTGTCATTGTATGATACACTTAATCCATTATAGTATAGTGTAAATGTAACTTTTCTATGCACTGACAAACCAAAAAATTGGTATGCCTTGCTTTATTGCCGTGGTCTAGAACCAAACCCACAATGTCTCAGAGGTATGCCTGGAATACAAATAGAAATACTTCATTTTTCAAATGCTGGTTTGTTAATTCACTTTAGGACAAAAATTTTATGACATAATGGCCAATGAGATTATAGGGAGATTTCTGACTCAGAATATCACATTAAACACTAATTATCACCACAAATTATTATCTATTAATGTAAAATGTGATCATATTACCATCAATACTTTTTTGTGTGAACAGAACAAAATAAAGGTATATCTTGTTCAGAAGAAGTGTCAAATAAAAAGTTAAGGCATGTAACATACACATCTTTAAGTGATCCCAATAATCTTATTTTGTGCTGCCATAAACAACAGAACACTTGAGACTGGATAATTTATGAAGAACAGAAGTCTATTAATTCACAGGCTGGGAAGTCGAAGGTTAAGGTGCCAAAAGGTTTGGTGTTATGATGAGCCCATTATCTTCTTCCAAAATGAAACCTTGCACACTGCATCCTTTTGGGGAAGGAGCCCTAGATCCTCAGACGGTTGAAGGCAGAAGGGCCAAGACAAAGAGCCTACTCCTAAAAGCCCTTTATATAATGACATAATCCATTTACGAGGGTAGAGCTCTTATGGCCCATTACCTCTGAAGGACCCAACAACCCAATGCCGTTAGTTTGGTAATTAAATTTCAACATCAGTTTTGAAGGGGGAGCAAACACTCATACTGTAGCACCAAGTGAGTCACACTGTTGTATAATCTCCAACCCTGGAGTACTAGCAGGACCAGTAACTTTCTTCTAACTACTAGAGTATGGCATATGGCAAGAGTGATGGAATGTCACTTTCTTGAAATACACACATACAAACACACACAGCCATATTTATATTCAATACATGCATGTTTACGGTGTTTTACATATGTATATGGCAGATTTTATTTATGTATACATTCAATGTATCACATATATAAATCATCTATCTATCTAAGAAATAAAACACATGTAAATATATACTGCAAACCTTTTAGAATAATGTCTGAGGCTAAAGCACAGGTGATTATAATTTTACAAAAAATATCAGAGGGAAAAATCAATTTTTTATATAAAAATGATGAGCAGGAAATAAGATATGTGGTAGGTGGCAGTGTGTTACAGTGGAAAGACTGGGATTGTATTAATTTGGCTTCTATATTTGCTATTTGGGTAATCTTGAGGAAATTGCAGTTTGAAATATTTAATTAGGGATAAAGAAATCTCTTTAGAAATTTTATTTCTCAGTGTTCTCCAGTAAACCCTAAGAGATATATATGTATGTATATGTATTTACCCATCTATCTAAAGAGCTTTGTAATAGGAAGTTGGATTATGCAGTTATAGAGGCTGGGAACTCCCAAGGTTTGCAGTTGGCAAGCTGGAGACCCAGAAAAGTCAATGGTGTAGTTCCAGTTCAATTCTGAAGGCCTGAGAACCAAAGCTAATGGTATAGTTCCCACCTGAAGGTGGGTAGGTGATGTGGTTTTGCTCTGTGTCCCCACCTAAATCTCTCTGGAATTGTAATCCCCACATGTTGAGAAAGGGACCTGGTGGGAGGTGATTGGATCATGGGGGTGGTTTCTTCCATGTTATTCTCATGAGAGTGAGTGAATTCTTATGAGCTCTGATGGTTTAAAAGTATGTGGTGGTTCTCTCCTCTCTCTCTCTCGCTACCATGTTAGATGTGCCTTGTTTCTTCTTCTCTTTCCATCATAATTGTAAGTTTCCTGGGGCCTCCCAAGCCATGTGGAACTGCGAGTCAATTGAACCTCTTTTATTTATAAATTACCCAGTCTCAGTTAGTTCTTTACAGCAGTATGAAAATGGACTAATACAGAAAATTGGTGCCAGAAGTTTAAGGCGCTGCTATAAAAATATCTTAAAATGTGGAAGTGACTTTGGACTGGGTAACGGACAGAGGTTGGAACAGTTTGGAGGGCTCAGAAGACGAAAGATGTAGGGGAAGTTTGGAACTTCCTAGATATCTGTTGAATCACCAAAATGCTTATAGTAATATGGACAATTAAGTTCAGAGTAAGGTGGTCTCAGATGGAGATGAGGAGCTTATTGGGAACTTGAGCAAAGGTTACTCTTACTATGCTTTAGCAAAGAGACTGGCAGCATTTTCCCCCTGCCCTAGAAAACCGTGGAACTTTGAACTTGAGAGAAGTTGATGTAGAGTATCTGACAGAAGAAATTTCTAAGCAGCAAAGCATTTAAATATATGACCTGCCTTTTTCTGAAAGCATACTACAGTCATGTGTGTTCACAAAGAGATTTTCTGCAACTGGGACTTATGTTTAAAACGGAAGCAGTGCATAAAAATTTGGAAAATTTGCAGCCTGACCATTTCTTTTCCCCAGAAAAGAAAAACTCATTTTCTGGGGAGAAATTGAAGCCCAAGCCACTGCAGAAATTTGCATAAGTAATTAGGAGCCCAGTGTTAATGGTTAAGACAATGAGGTACATGTCTCCAGGGCATTTTAGAGATTTCACAGCAGCCCCTCCCATCACAGATCTGGAGGCCCAGGGGAAAAATAGTTTCCTGGGCCAGGCCCAGCACCCAGCTGCTCCGTGCAGCCTCAGGACATGCTGCCCTGTGCCCCAGCTGCCCCAGCTCCAGCCATAGTTAAAAGGGGCCAAGGCACAGTTCAGGACCATGGCTTTAGAAGTCTCTTGGGAGCTTCCATGTGGTGTTGGGCCTGCAGATATGCAGAAGACAATAATTGAGGTTTGGAAACCTCTGGCCTAGATTTCAGAAGATATATGGAAATGCCTGGATGTCCAGGCAGAAGTTTGCTGCAGGGCAAATCCTTCATGGGGAACCTCTACTAGAGCAAGCAGAGAGGAAATATGGGGTGGGAGCCCCCACACAGAGTCTCTCCTGGGGCACTGCCTAGTATTGCTGTAAAAATAGGGCTACTGTCCTCCAGACCCCAGAATGGAAGATCCACTGGCACTTTGCATCACGTGCTTGGAAAAGGTGCAGGCACTCAATGCCAGCCTGTGAAAGCAGTTGCAGGGGGCTCTACCCTGCAAAACCACAGGGGTGGAGCTGCTCAAGACTTTGGGAGCCCATCTCTTGCATCAGCATGCCCTTTATGTGAGACATCATGTCAAAGGACGTTATTTTGCAGCTTTAAGATTTAATGACTACTCTGTAGGATTTTGGACATGCATGGGGCCTGTAGCCCCTTTGTGTTGGACAATTTCTCCCATTTGGAATGGGAGCATTTACCCAATGCCTGTACCCTATTGTATCTTGAAGTAATTAACTTGCTTTAGATTTCACAGGCTCAGAGGCAGAAGGGACTTGACATGTCTCAGATGAGGTTTTGGACTTGGACTTTTGTGTTAATGCTGGATTAAGACTTTGAGGGACTATTGTTAAGGCATGTTTGGTTTTAAATGTGTGAAGGATGTGAAATTTGGGAGGGGCTGGGGCAGAATGTTATGGTTGGACTCTGTCCCCACCCAAATCTCATCTGGAATTGTAATCCTCATATGTCGAGGGAGAGACCTGGCAAGAGGTGATTGGGTCATGGGGGTGATTTTCCCCATGCTGTTCTAGTGAGAGTGAGTGAGTTCTCATGAGCTCTGATGATTTAAAAGTATGTAGTGGTTCCCTCACCTTGCTCTCTGTCTCTTCTGATGCCATATAAGACATGCCTTGCTTTCCCTTCTCGTTCCACCATGATTATAAGTTTCCTGAGGCCTCCCCAGACATGCAGAACTCTGAGACAATTAAACCTCTTTTCTTTATAAATTACCCAGTCTTAGGTAGTTCTTTATAGCAGTGTGAAATTGGACTCATATAGCAGGCTTGAGACGCCAGCAGAGGCAATGTTTCACAAGTCTGAAGGCATGAAAAGACTGATGACGCAGCTTAATGCAGTCACACAGAAGGAAATTCCCTGTTACTTGTAGGAGGTGGGCAGCCTTTTGTTCTATTCAGTCCCTTCTACTGATTCAATGAGGCCCACCCACATGAGGAAGGACAATATGCTTTACTAGGTCTAACAATTAAAACACTTATATTATCCAAAAACACCCTCATAGACACACCCAGAATGATGGTTGACCAAATACCTGGGTGTCCTGTGGCCAAGTCAAGTTGAAGTGGACAGGTTTTGAGACAAGCAACCTTTAACCTACCTGTGCTTTAAAGACTGAACATTTATCTCTTGTCACAAAGAATGAATGTACATCTTCAGTAAAACCAGTCCTCACTTTTCATCCTCCCTACTGTTTAGTATTGCCATAAGATTAAATTCTAACCAACAGCTTGTGAACAAAATAAACCTCTTCCAGGCTAACCTGCCAAACCTCCTGGCACATGATTTGTCATGCTCTTCCCTTTGTACCAC